AAGAAATGTGGAGGGAAATCATTGTGATGGCATTCTAGCAAATTTATTCTATTCTTATAATCAGAATGAAAGAGTCAAGTTCCATCTTTTATTACAATTCAGTCCACAGAAACATCACAGTTATTCTAGTACAACGCTCCTTATTCTTTTTCATACTACAAAAATAACTTTACGGCCTATTTCAATTCATTGTTATTATATTAACGTTGTTGTAACTAATCAACGAAGAAATACTTTCATTTCTTCAATAGATAATAGACGTTGGAAAAATATTTGGGTTATGGGCTTTATGAAGCAATATAGTCCATTGAATTATTGTTAAATATTGCCAAGTTTCGAAAATGTCGGTTATGAGATAATCAAATTTATTCTATTTGGCTGTATATCTTTGCGTTACTTCTTTATAATAAACTGCATAATCCATAACAACTTTTCCCAACAAAGTCTTTCCTTATTCTACATACATCTCACACATTTCCATAGGCTTTTTAAGCTGCTTAATCACTTTTACACCAACAAGCAGGAAAAGAATGCTCTTGGAAACTATTTTTCTCATCTACTGTAAGGACTTTCAAGCAAATTATCAACACCTCTACGTCCGCTTCCTTGCTATCATTCCTTAATAACCAACAAATTTCAAACATGTCTTTTGAGAAATACTGTAAAGATTGGGAATCATGAGAAAGTAATCGATTATTTTCAAATTTTTGACATATTCATTCGTTAATGTAATATACTGTGAATTGATATATACAGTGTAGTCGATGAATGAGTAGCGAGCGTAGGTTATGGCTAAATTCACCAACTTTACTCGATATACGCGTTAAAGATTTAAGGTATATACTAGTAAATATAGCAGTAATAATAAGTAATAACGTGTCAAGATAATAAGAGGTAGTGAAAATACGGTTAGGTTTTAAATATGTGTAACGTAAAGGGAATTTGGCTGACTGCCAAATTTAGGCGATGTACCCGTCGACTACACTGGCCGGGGGAAGAACGGGGGAAAGAGGTTCGTTTAGTAGATATGGAATGATATCTCTCACGTCTCTTTCTATATTACTGTGGCCTGTATAGATTTCGTATGTACGGTCTGTCGATTTTCTAATTATTTCTCCCAATTTGTATTTGTATGTTGATCTCTGATCCACGTATAGAACAGAGTCTCCGGGAAAAAGCTCCAGTTTGTATCGATCTCTGTGCCATTTCGTTCTTCTGTGAATGCTGTTAAATAACTCAGTACAACATTTGTTGTTCAAGAGTTCACGTTCACGAGTGATGATAATCGGGTCGTATTCTCCATTCTTGAGGGGTAGTTTGTTTAACTTTAAAAAGTCCACTGGCGATACTGTCATCGGTTCCCCTAATTCGGTGACTCCGAATGATATAAGGCGGTTATTTACTAAGTTCTCAATTGATGAAATTGTGAGACGTATCTTGTTCCAGTCCAGATAGTTGTTTTTCGTTAATTTGGTAGTGAAGATCATGGATTTGATCAATCCTATGATTCTTTCAACCACTCCCATTTTATGGGAAGAATAAGGGGAATTGAATTTCCACTGGATGAGCCAACTGTTCATAAATATTTGAAACTCGGTCATTAATACCTCCGTAGCAAGGGAAGTAGTGGGCATAATTTGAACTGCTCTGGATCTCATGCACGAGATGACGAGTAGGTAAACTTTATTCTTTTCAGTTGTTTTGCATATAGGTCCAGTAAAATCCATGGCAATGTATTGAAACGGACTGATGAACTCTCCTGTTTGGGAATCTGGTAGACTTGCCATCTGTAAAATTAGTTTTTTGTGGTTTCTAGCAACACATAACTTGTATCTCTTTAAAACGCTAGAGATTCCTGTTGTTGCATACAGGAGGTGCAATTTCTTGGCCAGGTTTGCCCAAATGGCCCTTAAAGAAGCATGTTTGTTTTGATGATGAATGAAATATATTAATTTGAGGATGATAGGGTGACGAGCATCGATTATGATCTTCTTTATTTCCTCTGTCTCCTCCAATCTTCCCATTGTTACGTATATTCCATTTTTGTCCTCCACTAGAGAATATGAATCTATCAGTTTGTGAATTGGCATTGTGTTTTGTACGAGTTTGTATAATTGTAATTCGGCTGTTTCGAGCTCCCTTGTATTCAACTCGTGATCATTTATTCTGTTGCATGGACGGGATTGAATGTTCGATTTAAACCTTAGTATCCAAGCCAAGGTTTGTCTCATTTTTCGCCAATCTCCCAATATTTCGAATGTGGATTCCATGGCACACATATTGATTGAGGCCTTTGATACATTACAATTGACTTTTATTTCTTTGAAATCGACCCACTTTTCTTTCATCCTCTTTCTTGATTTCGTTAGGAAATCTGCTGGATTGTCATCGGAGCTAGTTAGAAACCAGCTTGCTATTGTTTTAGTGTTTAGGATGGATTTTACAGCATGACGTATATGTTTAGTCAGCTTTAAATCGTCGTTTTCTAGGTAACTGATAACGACTTTACTATCAATGAAAATGTTGATTGGTATGTCCGGAAAAATAGTGTAATATGGTTTGATAAAGTTGGCGGCTCTTATAGCTGCCGTCAATTCTGCTCGCGGGATTGAGGATCTCGGCGAGGAAAAAAGACGGGAGGATGAAGCTAAGAGGTAGCCCTTTTCTTGATGGATTCCGTATACAGCCGCACCATAAGCAATGTCAGAGGCATCCGCATAAATGTGGATATTTTCTGGAGGTGGTATATATCTTGATACTGAATATGAGCCTGATATGTTCTGGAGGACCTTAGCGATAATATCTTGTTCTTTGCATGTATCGTCCCAGTTAAGGCCGTGAAAATGTGAAATCAGGATTTTGGCCTGAAGTTTCATTGGTTCGATGAAACCCATGATGTCGTAGATCTTCGCGATGAAAGAGTAAAAGGCTCGTTTAGTTATGGGTTGTTCAGAATCTCTATTTGGTATAACAACTTCGATCTCGTCTCGAGATGGAATATATGTCAACCCTAAGACTTTGATAGGCTCTTGAATTAGTTTAATGTTCAAGGTTGAATGAATGCTGATCCATTCATTGTTTGTGTTATATTTCGTTAGGGGTAGACCTTTAGCTGCCAATTCTTTGTGCAGGCGAAATGCTAAATTCTCCAGTGTCTTCTCGTCATCGCCCACTAGGATCAAATCATCCATATAGAAGGATTTCAAGATAACTCCCTTTTCTTTATCATTGAGAGAAGTCGCTTGTCGTATAGTAGCATTTAGTGCCGTACACGCAGCAAATGGAGAACTAGCCGCACCGAATATGTGACGAGTCATTACGGCAGCTAATATTTTGTCCTCGTTTTCTGGATCTTCATAAAGGAAACCGAAATATGGTTGATGTTTCGCGTCCACTCTTATATTCATGAACATTTGTTTTATGTCCGCGAGTATAAAATAGGGTTGTGTCCGCCACAAAGTTAGAATATGCGCTTGATTTGCCAGTAATGAAGGTCCTGTAAGGAGAGCATCATTCAGGGAATAACCTTTGTGTTTCGCTGCGCCATCAAAGACAATTCGTATAGTTTCCTTTTTTGGATTTGATACGCCGTGATGGGGAAGATAAAATTTAACTTCCTTATGTGATACCCGTCGGGCGTAATCATTGTTGAATAGGGATTGAATTCCTTTCTTGTACTCATCGTTGTAGATAGGTTTCCGGCGAATAGCGTTAAATCTATTTTCTAGCGTCGAAGTAATTATCAGATAGTACGTCCGAATCGTATTTAAAAGGAAGAGGGAAAGTCCAGTAGTTTTTTGATGGTTGATGGTAATTTGCCATTATATCACTTGCTCGGGTATCGTTAATAGAACATGGTGGGTCTGCGTCCAAATCGTCCACATCAGGTAACTCGATTATGGGATCAATATAATGGATGTTTGGTTGAGTCTTAGTCTGGACCATGTTCACACTGTATCCTGAATAGGAAGTCTCTACATAGGGGGAAGTTGTTCTAAACCATCCTAGTGCATATTGCACAAATGTAAAGTTTTTGGTTTTATATAGGCTTATAGGACCGAGATGTGCATGAGGTCTATCTCACTTTGAATTGTGGCCTATTAACAAATCGATTCGGCCACTTGGAAGTGATCGTTCTGTGTATGTCGAATTGATCCTTATTGCTGGTTGTTCAGGTATGGTGGACAGTGTATCTACTACGTAGGCATCAACATCGTATTTGCTCCCCAATTTAGGGAATATGACCTTGACCTTTTCTGACGTTATTGTCTGGAAATCATTGTTGACATAAGATATATCAATTCGGCAGTAATTTTCAGCTATAGGTATGTAGGAGATGCTTTCTAAGTATTGTCTGCTGATCAGAGAAACTGCTGCTCCTGTGTCAAGGAGCGCGGTAATTTTGTGGTTGGTTGATTTACCAGAAGCTGGAATTTGAACTGTTGTTTCGTATACGGTCATTCTTTCTTGTTCTTCTTTTAATTGATTATAGTTGATGGTAGACGTCGTTTTTGGGATCGTAGCTTCTTTGTGGTATAAAGTCGTATGATGAATTTGGTTGCATTTTTTGCAGCTAAATCTAGATGAACAATTTTCGCTTATATGTCCACTTCGTAAGCAGTTTTGACATCGATGGAGCAGTTGGACCATACGTTGTCTACCTTTAATGTCCAAATTAATGTAGATTGGGCAATAAGCCAAGCATATATGATTTTCAGGACACATGCATCTACCATCATCTTTGGGAGGTGTGGTCCTATCTTTGTTTTTCAAGGGCTTAAGGTTAGGAGAAAAAGAAAGGGAAGTCCGCCTCATAGATGTATCGTCATCCTTCGTCATGTTCGACGCTACAATTCTTGACTTTGTATTCTCGGGAATGTATATCCCATCATCGATTCCATTGGAGACCTTTTTGATATATTGTCCCAACTTGACCACGATTGAAGCAATGTTTATTTATACATTGGGTGACTAGAAATTGCGTTTCCTGAGGTAATCTCTTAGCAAATTGTCGTAACCTTTTTATGCTTTAAGCTTTCAATCCTAGGGTCGTATCGTTTCGAACTTTCGGTTTCCTGAATTAGATTCAAAATATTTCGAACCTGCGAACTTCCGCCATTTTGTTCTTCGGCCGTTGGAAAAGGTTCCATTTCTGGGGCATCTCCAGAATTCGACGGAAAATTAGGTGAATTAGACTTGATAGAGTTGACTAGTTGGACGAGTTGGTCCATTCTTGCTTCCATCGCAGCTCTATTCTGCATGTTCATTGCTTCCATCGCAACCCTATTCTGTATGTTCGATTCTTCCATTATTCTTTTCTGTTCCTCCAGTTTCTCATCGAGTGTTGCTAAGTCGACCATATTGGTAAACATCGCAGTTTCTACACAATACAAAAAAGATAAACTTTACGTTCTCGGTTAAGATGGCTTGGAAATCGTTGTTAACGTGCATTCATCGCTGTACATTGATTCGGTTTGCAGGAAAAATCGACGACTTATTAGGGAGTAACACCAGTGTCAACAAGGGCTAACATTCTGTGATTAGCAAAATTACCAGAGGCTTAAACTAGCGTAGATAGGTATCCTTTCCTTTTTGGTATTCGGAAAGATCGTATTTTTAGGTCTGCTACTCTTATTTAAGGGAAGATACTGTTCAAGTGCAACAGGTTTGCGTCAAATCATATCTTCGTTTGTTGTATCATCAGTGGATTTCGTCATGTTAGATCACAGATACAGCATTAATTCTTTTGTATCTGTCATCATAACATCACGCACAATTTACTTGTTAATTCGTGTATTCTTCCAGTTTTAATGGCTTTGTTCATTTAAAGAAAATTGCTCAAATTCATCCTCATCAATCCGAAAACTTTCCAAAGCCGACAGTAATCTGAAGTGGCAGAATTACAGTAATTGTACCTTTCGGTGTGATTCCTATTCCTAATATCAATAAAATAGGTCATTTTCGAGGGAAGGTTTATTAATTTTTATGCGTACCATCATTCGACTTTATAACTATCAATGAATTACAGCAATAGGTTTAATTCGATTGACATATTTGGTGTTATTAATGTAAATCAGTTAAGTTTTGTGATATCACAAGATCACACACTTCTCTATGATGATTCTACTACATAGTTTCTTTTTGCAATTTTCACATAAATACAATATTTAAAATCCATATTTTTCCAATTGTAATGCTTTTGTTCATTTCAAGAAAACTCATCTACTTCATTATCATCTATGGAAAAATTTCAAAAAAAATGTGATATTCTTGTTTCACAGCATTAGCTGTTTGCAATTGTATATTACCTCGTGGTTTCCCATTCCTAATATCGTCCTGTTGAATTGATATAACTTATGTATGATCTTCTTAACCATCAAGGGAAGACATACAATTTTTATTCCATTGACATATTTGGAATAATAATATCTCAACTGGATTTAGTTGTGCTTCAAAACCATCATAACATAACACACTTTTATATTGATTCGGGTTTCACATAAATATAATATTGAAAGTACATATTGTCGCAATTGTAGTGCTTTGGTTCATTTCTGAAATGGCCGCCAATTTAATTATCATCAATCGGTAAACAAGTTGAACTTTGTCACAAAATGTTTGTATGTGGAGGGGAATCATTGTGATGGCATTCCAGCAAATTTATTCCACGCTCATGATCAGAATAAAAGATCCAAGTTTTGTTATTACAATTCTGTGGAGAAAAACACAACCTTCAGTCCAGTAAAGCGCTCCTTATTCTCTTTCATAAAACAGAAAAAGTTTTTACGTCTTCGTTCAATTCATCCTTATTATTGTAATTTTCTTGCCATTAATTAACAAAGAAAATCTTTCGAGTTTCCTAATAGATAATAATCAATGGAGAAGCATATCAGCAAAATATGGTCCATTCAATTGTTGTTAAATACTGCCAAGTAAAACATTTCTTAAATATAACCTTTACGCTCTCGGTTAAAATGGCTTGGAAATCGTGATTAACGTGCATTCATCGCGGTAATTCGGTTTACAGGATCCTCATCAATCGGAAAACTTTCAAAAGTCACAGTAATCTGAGGAGGCAGCACTACAGCAATTGTACTTTTCGGTGTGATTCCTATTCCTAATATCAACAAAATAGGTCACTTTCGAGTGAAAGTTTATTAATTTTTATACGTACCATCATTTGACTTTAAAATTATCGATGAACGACAGAAGTAGGTTTAATTCAATTGACATATTTGGTGTTATCAATGTAAATCAGTTAAGTTTTATGATATCACAAGATCACACACTTCTCTATCATGATTCTACTACATAGTTTCTTTTTGGAGTTTTCACATAAATACAATTTTTAAAATCCACATTCTTCCAACTGTAATGCTTTTGTTCTTTTGAAGAAAATGCTCCATTTCATTCTCATCTATGGAAAAATTTCCCAAAAACAAAATACTGTTATGGGACAGTATTAGCGCAATTATATATTTCCTCATGTTATCGTATTGATTTAATTGTTTAAAAAACATATATTCAGCTGTCTCGTATTTTCTTTCATTCTCTGTTGGTTAAATTAATTTTAGGAAGTGAAATACATTTGTTTGTAATTGTATAATACCTCGTGATTTCCTATTCCTAATATCGTCCTGTTGAATTAATTTAATTTGCGTATTATCCTTCGCTTTTTAACGATCAAAGAATGTCAGATAGAGTATTGATTTTATTGATACATTTTAGATATAATTCTATAATTTTTTTCCGTCACTATTGTAAAAAAGCAGGAAGCATTTCGGGACACTCTTTTTCCGAATAGAACATGCAATTATTTACGAGAAAAATATTTCTATAGGTTTCCCAATATTCTCAATGAAGATAATTTACATATTATTGTTCCTCTTTTTAATTATCAAGAGATAACAGAAACAGTATTATTTCCTCTAACACATTTCGGATAAAACATGTCAACTCAATAGTCTTAATACCATCATAGTAGACTATTTCCGACTGAAGGTGAATTAATGAAATTACGTATTAGCGCTCGTCCACAGAACTAAAAAAAGATAAAAGACACTATTAATTCTATTGAACCATTAGGCATGATACGAGTCAATTGCGTATCGTTGTATTCACAATTGTCCCAAAATTACATCCTTTTCTAGGACTTTCAATTTGATAATTAATATTAAAATTGCACATTGTTCTAAGAGGGAAAAAGTTAGTTGAAAACGCTAAAGCCAGATATCGAAACAATTGTTTCTAACTGTATATATACAATATAAAAGACTTTTATCATAAGATACTAATATGTACAGTATATCAGTCCTCTTTTATTGAAACTTACATTAAATTTCATTGTAATTCTTTGCAACTGCAACATATGTTATTATATCTCTCGCTTAATATCGCTCTCCAGTTAGTTTCGGGTCAACTTGCAAAAACTTTAATTATTCATAGAATTCCGTTCCTCCTAGAATGATGTCTTTAAAGAATATGAATTTTTGTTTTAATGAAAATTATTTACCGAAGACTTCGTTACGTATTACTTTAAACTTTTTGTTGAAGAAAGCACGCCGAACGTTGAACTTTTAAGACACCATATTTTTGATAAGAGGTAGGATTACTTTCGATTTTAATATTCTACCGGGTTTTAATTTCATATCACGAAATATTCATAGTATTATTAGCGGTTTATTTCAAATGTAAAAATAAATATTGACATTTTAATAAATGACAAGTCTTGTTGTTAATATTCAATAGTTTGTTATTTAGAATTATTCAATCAATTTATTTATATAGACTAAATTGACTATTGAAATTCCGATTCTTTTTTTATAAATCAAATATTGTTTATGTATTACTTCACGATAAAGTTACAATTGTTTCCTAACGATTATCAAAGATTGAACATAAGTCATCATTTAAAAAGGAAAAGTCGAAAAAAGAAAATAGAAGTTTCGAGACACCGCATTTCGGAAAAGAGGTGGAACTATTTTCAGTAATACACTTTATACCAGTTTATAATTTTTGTTGCGAAATATTAATTATTAAGAAATTGCGTTATTTTGAATTTTGAGAAATATAATAAGTGGTTTTTGGTTATTAATAATTTGACTAAAATTGATCATTTTCGTCAATTTACAAAGATTATAATTTTTAGTAAGTACACATTTCTTCAAATATTGATTTCTGTTACTTATTTTTCATACATGATCGTTTTTGCAATGACCGTTACATTGATTACACGGTATATCGACATTGTACAATTGGCTTTGAATTGACAGAAAGTGCAACATTGTAGATTATTGATTAATATAATTTGGAATATTTGAATAATAATAAGATTTATAATAAATTGTTTGCTTTGTGATATCAATCTAATAAGTAAAAAAACGATGCTCAAAGCACTTGCAAGAATCGGTTAACTAAGTAATACAGTAGTGGATTTTGTGTTAACTCTTTTACAAACTATAATCTAATGTATGGAATAATTACAGATACCTCGACCTGATTTTCGAAGAAAGTGGTAACGTGTGGGATTGTGTGATTTTGCGATATCTATAAGAAGGTAAATATCGTTACTAACTAACCGAGAAGCATCAATTTTGCAATATAATATTGATGCTTTTTGTCGATTCTTATTAAACAATCTATGATTTCAGATACATGAATGTTAAGGGAAGAATCAAATACTATATATCTATGCTCTTTTTTAAGGTAAATCTTTTTTTTTTGAATCAATCGATACTTATTTTTTAACTAATGCTGTATCAGCGTTTTCCAATATCAACATTAATAGCACCCAACCGTTCAATTTGATACATCCTCCAAGATACTACGAGTGCTTTCTGTCTATCAAACGCAACTTTAGATAAAAATAACCAAAATCTTATAAAGTTAGAACATCGAAAAAAAAAACAACTTGTTTAATGAAAAAAGCGAAGTTGAGGAAAAAAATGCGCAAGTCTTAAAATGATTTGTTCAAAGTAATGTTTATTGAGATCAGTTAAAGACAAATTTCAACATAATATATACAGTTTCTTTCAGCATTTTCTATTCGATTTCGGTTGTGCTGTTTCGTTCAGAGAGAATTTCGTGTTCAGTCGAGATGCTTCTCTTCCATTTCGTTTTTCCAGAACACTTGTCACACGCAGAGTTGTCCATAAGAAATGAACGACAATCTTCAAGAAGGAATTTTACCCTACTGTGACCAAATTCAGCTTCTTTTCCGATTGGAGTGTAAAGTCAAGGCGTTTCTCCTGAAAAGAACCAAACCATTACAATTCTACAGCAATGCAAAATTTTAACGTTATACTTACGTTCAAAAAAAATCGTCAATCTTAGGAGTAGTGTCTGATCTTGTAATACCACAATACTTAACCCGATTTACACTGATTTGTACCTCGCAGCTTTCGCCTATTTATACACTTTTCAACTTGGAAGGTTTCGTAAAATTCTCTCGAAACTTTTCATCAAACTGCATGCAAACTTTTCATTTATTTTACACATTTTTCAGGATTTAAAAGCAATTAATGCGAAGAAAGTTGAGAGTGCGACGTGTGTTTGCGGTTGCTTCACCCTTTATCGTACAGTTAGATTGCATTTATTCTAGATATAACGCAAGCTTCTACTTCTAAACATTCTAATCGTATTTACTGTGAGTTGTGCATCTCATTTCAATAAAAAGCTCTTCCGATTAGCGTAAATAACAAATTGAATTTCGTGTTGAAATTGTTGAGAAAAACAACTGACGCCATGTTTTTCTAGGCTTATATTCTTAAAGGTTTCCATCGAAAGTGCAAATAAAAACATGATCAAATTTCTCATAATCTACACACAAATCTGATAAATCAAAATATCCAACCGATACAATTCAATAACAGTGGTGCCATATTGCAAAAATGTTGAAAACTTTAAATGTCACATGACAGATATTTAAACATTTATATTTTGGTTTTTTTCATTTCTATCAATTGCGTTTTAAATACTTTGAACTTTTTCACAATTATTCTGACAAATAAAAGTTAATAGCTGACATTTTGATATTCTGAATTGGAAACAAAATGGCAACTTCTTTTAAATGAATATTTGTATGAAATATTACTGATGGAAATAATGATCGATTAACGCTTTTTAAATCATTGTCATGTTGCTTTTCATCAACATTTTGTATCTATGTACTTCAAAATATATTCTATGTCAAAAAGAATGTCATTTTGACGCTTTATTAGATCGAAAGAAGTGATTATTTAACTGATTTATCAAATTCAATAAAAAATTGTCTCTTTGATGCTGAAATTCATATTTTACCAGAATTCTATCTACTGAATATAAATATGAGGAAATTTTGTTGAAAAACGTCATTTTAGTCATAATTAATTTTTTTAAGAAACACGTGGTCAAAATGGCGTCTGCCGAAGAAAAATTGACGAATTTCGAAACAAATTGAGAATAGATTGTGTGGAAAGTGTAATAAGGTTGTGTGAACTAACAAGGAACCATAAGACATGAGAACTGAGACTTAAAAATATGAAACTTGTAAAATAAATACATTTTTAAATATTGCAGGGTGATGATGTGTTAAAATGAATGAAATAGCGTCTCAAATGTTGATACTTGTATATATATTGATATTGAAAAAAATTATAGAGTATCTAAAGAAAAATCATAAACGAATTTTAATGGAAATTGAGTAAAATTTCGATATAAAATTGGTTAATTATTTTGATGTATTCTTTTATTACGATTTAGGAAAATGTTTATATATAGTATTAGTTTGAAGTATTAAAAAGATTTGCAATTGATGATGTATAAATAACAATGTTATTTAGCCTATTAACATATGATATACATGATTGTTCAACTATTGTAGCACTTGACGTTATAAATAGAGCATGTTAAGGAAGTGAAAAGAGTTTCGAAAAGGTCAATCGATTGTTTTGAGAAGTGGAAAGATAATGAAATTGTTGACGAATCTTTTTATAGGAATTAAAGAAGAGAGAGGAGATGAAATGACTTTTGATATGACTAATATATATAAAGGAATGTTCCTTTAATAAAAGGACTGGTAAGTTAACGCAGCTTATTAAAACCTATTTTATATATTAATGTCAGTGTTGTGCTTTTAACATGTCTTTTTTCATATAGCATACGTGTTTTGCATCCAATTCTATCCAGGCAAAGCGGTTTTGCTTGTCCAAGATAACATGCTTATCACTTAGTTTTAAGATACGAAAGGTCAAGCAACATATTCCTTGATATTTCTTAAACTGCAAAACATTCGTAATTTCACAAGGAATGAAAGATACCCTTGCCCATTCTATAAAATAGATAATTTGATGATGAAAGCTTCTTGCAACTTCGGTATAATATGTGTTATTGAGATTGCTATGTTATAGTGTTAGAGATGCCATCAAAACAACCAGTTACAAATTTTAGAATAGGTTAAAGGGATAATATAGTAATGAAGAGAGAAAAAAACTGGAAATATTGTTAAGAGCGATTGAGAAGATGATCAAACACTACACTGTGTTTCTGCAAATCACAAAATTGGCCAACAGCGAAAAATTTTCCAAAATCATGAAAATCTACGTTTATAGAAAACATGTATGTTAAATAATGTTGATAAAGGAGATCTAAGGCAGCAATATAATATAAAAGTTAGATTATTCATTATCAGCTCAAAAAGTTAATAATCTATCAAGGATTTTCATTGTAAATAGAGCCCACCACTAAAACATGAAACCTACATGAAAATGTTATATCATTTTTAATTTGTACCATTGGTACTATGTAAAAGTACAATTGCTGTAGTGCTGCCTCCTCAGATTACTGTGACTTTTGAAAGTTTTCCGATTGATGAGGATCCTGTAAACCGAATTACCGCGATGAATGCACGTTAATCACGATTTCCAAGCCATTTTAACCGATAACAAAACTTGGATCTTTTATTCTGATCATGAGCGTGGAATAAATTTGCTGGAAGAATCTGGAAGAATGCACGAACTAATGAGCAAAGTGTGTAATCTTGTGGTAACACAAACAAAACTCAATGGACATGGATTATTCCATACTGGGTCATAGGAACTAATGCCTTATCTGTGATCCGTTGATAGGTTTAAAAAAGAGGAACGAGAATACTAATTCAACTTTCATACGGAAGTAATATTGCCGCGAAGGTGATTTTGCAGTCGAGAAAGCTTGAGTAAAGAATGTTGATAAATAAAAGGAAGAAAGAAAATACATGATCAGTATTCTTATCATTTGATCGAATTGGAGAATTATTTTAAATAGTTAAAACGGAGGAAAAAGAGTGTCTGTTGATGAGCTTCAAAGCTACTCAGACGAAACGACATTTGATCTTTATCCAAGATAAACGGTCAGAATGAGATACAGAAAAGAGGATAAATATAGATAATATAATAATAATAGATATCTTAAAAGTTTATATGAAAAAATAGCAAAAAATTTGGATGAATTTTTTTCTATTCCAATGGATTATATAAAAAGTTGATACAGTATAAATCACTAAAAAACGTCGCCTTGTGATCCAAAGTAAAAGATATCCAATAAACTATTAAATTGAAAATGAAATTTTATCAGTTTTTTTTGGGAACAAGACAGTAACTGGTTCTCTTCCGTTTTAGTGAAAATTCGTAAATAAAGATTACTGTATGGTAAGAGAAATTTCTTAATGAGTTCTATCTATAAATTCGGTTGTATGAATGTTTTATCCAGTAAAAGATAATTAAGCAAGTCCTATTTGTTAAATTATTCACTTTTTCTACTCTAAGAACAACCCTGGCAGAGACTTCATCTTGGGACTGTTTGAATGATAATAATCAAAAAGAAAGTAGAGAACATTATGCTATCACAGCATATCCGGATATACAAGACGGCTACTTGCCCTCGACTGAGTTGAAACTTGGGATAGATCAGTTGACGGCGGACAAAATGGTCACAGATTAGAAGAATATGGTAGCGAGGATGTTGGATGTCTATAATGGGGAGTCTCAATCAGAGATGTCGATAGGTAAAGCAGAAGGGAGAACGTCTAGTCAATCTCATGAAGAGGCATGTAAAACCAATCAAGACGACATCAGAGAGTAAGGATGAACGACTAGCTTACACAAGATGAAGATCTACTAAATCAGGAAGAATTAGACGCTATAGGACAAGAGAAGATGGTTCTAGGGCATCAATCAGTGATGAATGACCTACATCCAGCCAAAAAAAATTTGACACAACAGCTTTAGGGGAATGATACGTGAGGATATGGAAAGAGGCATGGAAAATCTTGAAATTTGATTGGGTACCTCCATAAGACATAAAATGGAGACCATGAGCGGAAAGCTGAATGAGCAAGTCAACGCAAAATTAGAAGGAACTGTCCGAAAGGAGCAGATGGAAACCCTCCAAGAGAGAATTGAGAGGGATGTCAAGAAACTCAAGTCTGAAGCTAAGGAGTTGAAGCGCAAGACTCAACCATTGTTGCCTACGGCTATAAGTCAAAGAAAATCAGCCGCTGACGACCTACATATGAGGGAACGAGCGGGCCCCACAGAGATGCTGAGGCCAATGGGACTGTACGAGACATCAGAAAGGTATTGTCAACGACTCTCTTAGCCACAATGCCAAAAACAACCATGCACTACCTTTGAGAAACGGCTATCAGCTACCAGACCCGTATTTAAGGGTGACATCACTCATTTCAAGGCCTTTATGATGGATCTTAAACAACTAGTAGACCAGTTTGATGTGAGAGATTGGGGCAAGCTGGCCTTATTGACAGCGCAAGTGAGTCAAGAGCTCAAGAAAGAGCTGAATGAATATCAGAAGGAGCCAGAGGACGGGCATAGTAATGCATTAAAGTATTTACATAGAAAGTATGGGCAAGTCAAATAAAATTCTGATAGTGCAAGATTAGAGAGGATGGGGGCGAAATCACTGTTGAGAAAATTGCATCCATCGTAAAGGAGGACGCAAAATCTATAAGGAATGCAAAAATTCACCTCTCAACCAAATCAACGCTGAGAAATGTCCTGGATACGGCAGCAGACATTACCCTAGTCAGAACAGGAGCTTTGAGACAGATAAATGAGAAGCAAATAAATATACTTTGAAAATAATGGGGAGAAAGGAGAGATACGCTACACAGGGACTGATGAAGGTGACGAGTAAAGTCCTACAAGCTCTCGGAGATTACTTCCGTTTGACTAAAAATGATATCAACTGTAGTATGATTTAGGAAATCATATCACGAGAGAGGAGCGTTGATGCTCCTGCTGAGGGCGTATTGTGGTTGAAGTACGACATTGTAGAGGATAAAATTAAATGGAACTTGGACCTAACCCTAAAGGGAGGGAGCATGTACAGGAAGGCATTAAGCATAATTAATTTCAAAGGTCTACGATCCTCTGGGCATGATTAATATGATAATGGAACATGGAACAGCTATGATGATTGTCCTTCTAAGGAAACCTTTGAAAAGAATGATGTGATTTTATTGATCTACATAACATTTTAAGTTCAGATTTCAAAAATATATCGTTTTAGATTGTGAAAAAGCAGTATTTGCAGATTGGCTCGAAACCAAATGAAGAGAGCGATATTAGGAGAGAGAAGAACATATTTTTAGGAAATAAACAAGAATATCTCCCCGTATATCTTCTAAGCCAAAAACACAATATTAAATCCTTGACGTAAGGCTTATAGTCAGTCTCTCAGGTAGAGGCACGCTTGTTGAGAGCATCGTTTTGATGAGACCTATTAGGAATATGGGGAGCTAAAAATTTCCACGACAGATACTTGACGTTCGATTGTTTGTTTTGTAGTGTTGATCTATTGTTCGATATAATTTTCGAAAGGTTAGAGCAGAGTCGGATATGATTGAATCAATTATTTTAAGAGATGTATGATTACAATCATAGTGAATATATTTTATAAATTTTGTGATAATGGAATGACGATCATCCGCAATTATTTTCTTTTTGTCTCTCAGTTTATCTGATCTCCCTAGTGTTGTGTAGATGCCGTCCTCTCTCTTTGCAAGGGAATACGAATTTATTAATCTCTCGATTGGCATAGAAAGCTGGACCCCATTGGGCTCGGCCTAATTCGGATGTTGTTGTCTTTGGATCTCTTAGCCTATCTTTCGATGGTGTACGACAATTATTAAAGAGTCTTGAGACCCAAGACATTGTAGAGCGCATATTGGGCCAGAATCCTTTTTATAGATTCCTTTGTTTGATTCATCTTGATTTTTCGTTTTAAATACTATCCACTCCTCTCTCATCCTTCTCGTCTTCGTCATTTTGTCAGCTGGGTTGTTTTCCGGGGGGGCGGGGGGCGGTTAAAACACCATTCCGTATTGTTTTCAGTGGCAAGTAGTGATTTTTCTAGGACGATTTTACTGTCTATGAATACCCTGATAAGTGATTGCGGAAATATTGATTTTAGGGTTTTATAAAGTTTGCTGCTCGTACCGCTGCCGTCAATTCTGCTCTTGACGTGGAGAAGAGGCGAGAAGATGACGATAAGAGAAATCCATGGTTATTGTGGATAACATATGTAAGCTATGTCCGAGGCGTCAGCATAGACGTGGATAGCATCGGCAGGGGCAGTCGTCTAGAATTGGAATAAGTGCCAGCAGTTTCAGCAATAGTGTTGATAATGCGACAGTCATGGACCTCATGACAAACCATGAAATAACGAAATTAAGACTTTAATTCGTAATTTATTTGGTTCTAAAAATCCAAAAAAGGAGTAGAAAGTGACGTTTCGTCAATTGACGTTCGGGCTCCCAGTGGGTAAGTTCGACTCGCATATCGTCTGAATCGGGATGGTATGTAAGGCCAGCAATCTTCATAAGAGTTTCAATCAGATTAATTTGTAAATATGAGTTTGAACTGATCCATAGGCTACTAGTGGTATATTTTGTTAGGGGTTAGTCTTTGGCGGCAAGTTTGTCGTGTAGGCGATAGGCAAGATTCTCCAACTCTCTCTCATTATTACCTATGAGCATAAGGTCATCCATATAGAAGGATTTGAAAATTAGAGCCTTCTCTTGAGCCGATAGGGGGGGGGGGTGGCTGTTTTCAATGGAATCCTTTTTCGAGTTGTTAACGCTGTGGTGAGGAAGGTAAAATTTAACTTCTTGGTTCGGGCATACTTGTTGTCGCATAGAGTCTGGATTCTTTTTATGTATTCGTCATTGTATCAGAGTAATAATCTCGTGGAACTTGTACTTCGTAGATCGGTATTCTATCATTGTTATAGCCAGATTGATTGATATTAACAGGAAATGTTGGTCTTGGGATTGTCGAGTCCTTATGATGGAGTGATGTATGGTTGGGTTGATTACATTTGTTACAATAGAACTTGGGGGGACAGATATCACATGGGTAGCTGTTTTTCGTAAGCAATTACGACATCAATTTAGAGTTTGAACCAATCTCATTTTACCCTCTAGATTTGTATTCGTTTATAGGACGGACAGTAGGCTAAGCATGTATGGTTGTCTACACATAGACATTTCGAATTTGTATTCGATGATGAGCTAGGAGAAGTCGCTTTTGTTGGACCATTAATTTTCTAGATGATGTAGTTTGTGGATTTCTAATTTTAGCCTTGCTCTCTGAATTTGGAGATTCATCTTGCGTTGCAGTTTCAGGAACGCAAGAAGTGTTTTAAACTCAACCCAATCGGAGATATTATTAGGTTGGAATGTATTTGTTTTGTTGAGGATTTATTGTACTAGGTTTCCTCCGTTCAGGGAGGTATCGCCATAGATTAAATCTAGAGTATGAATGAGGTTTCGGAAAAATTCTCCTTACCGCCTTTGTCATTAATCATATCGTAATATGCTGCTACATTCACTATTCACCGCTTTAGAATCTGTTATCTTTCGGAATCATCGGTGTTGACTTCTGATAAGGGAACGATAATATTCCTTCGAAAGTTCCGATAATTAACGCCATTGAACTTTTCAGACGGAGTAATTTGCTTATTTCTCAGTATATCAATTCTGGAGTTGAATTTGTATGATGAGGAGCATTCGTCATTTCGTCTCTCATTTGTGTATAGCGTTCCGTCATTTTCTCGGTTCTGATGAATTTGAATTTTTCAAATGTTCAAAGTTCGACCGTTGAAGATTGTTCTATCTCTTGTGTAACTTTTACATGATTCTTTAGTCGAGTCTGTTTGGGTAGAATCAATCATTTGAAAAATACGTTCCATTTGCGCTGCTATTCTCAGTCTTGTCTACATATTTTTTTGTATCTTTCAACTGGGTCTTTGACTCTGCCCATTTTTTGAGGTGCCACGTTTGAGCCACATCGTTTGGTTCGACTTGATCTCATCTGTGACGTGATATTACGTCAAGCTGCCCGACAATGATATGAACCCGAGTCGCCTGGCCTGTCTCAATACATGACACACTCTCATTCATTCTTCTCTCATATACATCCACACTGCCTCAAGATCATAAGCATATATCGGTTTCTTTTGTCTTTTTTTTTCTTATAACTGTGTAGTCGTTGACCATAACGCTAGCACTAAAACTCTATGCATCCAAATTGGTCAGATTCTCTTCAAAAGCATAATTCATATAGATAAATTCATCTTAATTCATCATTACTAAATTGACCAAGTCTTTTTTGTCTTTTCAACAGTTGAAGAGAACCTGTATTGCAATATATAACAATATCTCCAATTAAAATCACTCATAATATTTCGGGTTAATTAACCCTTTATCAAGTGAGTTTGAAATTTGGTACGAACCAATCTCTGTACAAAATTTGAGCCAAATCGGCCCAGCCGTTTAGGAGCTATGGCGCTTTGAAAAAGACGTAGGTCGCAAGTGGTTGTTACACCTATTCCTGATATTCGGCAGTTGTAACCTTAAGATCAGGTATTCGTTACTGTTATTCTACGCCAATTTAGAGGATAACCTGTTCAAGTATAGCAAATCTATAAATAAAATGTATCAAAGGAAGACCTAGAATCAATTCTACGTTCCTTCCTCTGTAAGGGTTAGGTCTTGGGGTTAGGGTTAGTTAAGTTCTTGTAAATATCCTCTAAATTTGCCGGTCAGCATTTTTGCTGAAGCACATTGTGAATTCTGTGGGAAAAATATAATTTTCTATTGTTTCATCCCCCAGTAAGTATGTTAATGCTTCATTTACATGCAAAATGCCGACTATAGACATTGCAATCGGAAAATGTATGAGAAAGATGGAAGATTAATGCAAGATGGAGCAAAGTGCCATACTTTGGCCTCAACATCTAAATTTTTAAGAAAAGAAAATATAAAAGTACTGAAAGATTGGCCAGCCAACAGCCCTGAGCTCAACATAATCGAAAATTTATGGGCTTACGTAAAAAATCGTATACCAAAACATAATATAAACAACAAGCATGATTTGTGGACAGCAGTGGAGGATGAGTTTCAAAAAATACCTAATTGGTATATAAAAAACTTATATAAAAGTTTTAAAAATACTTCGACTGTGTATAAGAAATAACGGGTCTTTTTGTTGTCCGGCCAATTTAGAGGACATTTACAAAAACTTACTAATTTTCTGCTTTAACATAGATAAGTTATGTTCAAAAATATCTTACTAATATCAGAGTCAAAAAAATAGTTACTTTTATAAAACAATACAGTAGTGCTTCAATTAGGTCATCCGTACTGTATACATTATATAAATGTTAAGGAAAAACATTCTTAGCTTCATCTGAACAAATAATTTCCTTAATATCATCTTGTGACTTGTCCAGCATATTCTAACAAAACATTTTCCTCTTTCTTCCATGGCATGCCTTTAGAGCAGGTTTCCTTGCGGCATTATGTCCTTTAAGTTTGCAATTATGTAACATTCACTTAACAGGCTATCAATCATCGCCTTTTAACCTGGGCTTAACAACAATACAAGAGAAATCTTTCATTCATTCGAAAATCTTTTCCATATGATTTCAGTATCGTAGATACAATATCTCTTAGTAAAAGGATTACTAGGTCCCTTTCCATTCAATTTCAATTCATCCGTAAAATTGACGTTGTGTCATCAATACATCAATACAAAGTAATCACACTTTTAATAAAACTCTTTAAATAACATTT